CTCCCCTCAGCAGTGTACTTCGTAGATCTGCCTGTTCTGCTCCCCACCATGTCTCTGATGAAGCCTCTCGCTGCCCCTGAGCCTCTGGCCTGTACCCCAGTTCTGTATGCACAAATAAATAAATCTTTAAAAAAAAATGGTGTTTCTGCTTAAAGCATCTTCTTATGTATGTTCTGCCATTTTCTTCTTGATCTTTTCATAATTTGGGAAAATTTTTTAGTATATCACACTATATAATTCCATATTTATACATAAGATGAATATATTTTATACATGAACTAATTCCAAATGAGGTGTTTTATCTTTTAATTTATTTTGAAAATTGGGTACATGTTTGCAATTTCTACTTTTTTGAATTTATCAAGGAAAATAATAACTGCTAATTTAATTTGTTAACAGTTCATTGTTTCATCTTGTAATTAATTCTAAAAAATAGAAATCACATTGTATGAACATTTTAATTTTTTTCTTTATGTAGTGTATTTCCTAATGTAATGAAATAGTTATTTAAAATATATTTTAAAGGGCTGCATAGTATTATAAAGGTCTTTCATAGGATATTTAAAGAGAGCAGTTTTATTGGCTACTGAAGTTGTGTATTTTACAACATAAGTTTTATGTATTTTTGAAAACATACCCATAGTGGGAAATCCAAAGTTAACAGGGGTTTATAAAATCTGCCTCTAATGTCCCTTTCTCAGTCTTCTTTCCTGTGAAGCAACCAGTATTACTGGCTTGCAAGAGTTTTTTCATAAATATAAGAATTGTGAATGAACACAAATAATCCATCCGCATCTTACTTTTTGTCAATGTAGCACGGAGAAGATTCATGTTAGTATATAAAAATCTCATTAATTTTAGGCTGTCGCGTGTTGATACATAAATATGCCATAACTTTTAAACCAGAACAGTACTTCTAAATATTTGTTTTGTTGTAATACTTTTGTGTCGAAATTTTACTTAAAAGAGATTTGATCCTTGTTAAAGTGTGAATTACTGACTATTGCTTTCCTTTCACCCCTTGTTGAGACAGTTTTTGCCTTTCTTGGTGAGTTGATCAGATAAGTTGCCGCTGTCTATTAGACAGGCTTCTTTAAAGACATGATGAACTCTAGACTAGAGAAAAGACATTAGGCACATGTGAAAGTATTTAAGGAATCCTGATATTGAAGATCCTCACAGTAAAAATTTTATCTGAAGTGTGAAATAGAATAGCATAACAAAATACATAGCACAAAAGTAGTGCTTAAAGGATTAAAGTGAACATCTGTGTGATTCCCATCCAGGTTGAGAAACAGTATATTTCCTGTACCCCACTGTGTGCTCATAACTCCCTTCCATGCCCTTACTGGTAGCCACTGCCCTGGTCATTATGGCATTCATTTTGATTCTGATAGTTTTATAGCCTAATTGTGTAACTCAAACAATGCAATAAAATTGTGCTTATTTTTAAACTGTTACCCAAATGTTTTAGGTAACAGAAATTTTGCTCCTCACCAGAGCAGTCTTGGTGAGGAAGAGTCCCAAAGAGTATGTAGAAAGTGAAAGGGCAAGGAATTCTACACATTTTGTCTTAAAGAAGTTGGGGGATTTAGGTTGTACCATTATAAGGTGAGCTTGAGATAGTTTGCATACCAGGTGATTGAGCTGTATCTTCACAGTTGCCAGGATTCTGGAACTGGCTCTGTGTTTGATTCTTTGAATACTAATTCAGAAGCATTTATTTATATGCCATGGTCCTGCATGGAGGTCTCTTTAGCTTCCACTGTTTTCCTGTTCATGTTTTCCTGCTGGGTGTTTTTTTTTTCTTTTTAATGAATAATATAATAATTTATTTTTACGTCATTTTGTGCATGTTTCCATCTCAGTTGTAATTCCCTTGGGCTTCCCATCATCAAATCACCCATGTGCCATCACCATAGTCCAGTGCATTTCCCTCCCCCTTACTGTTTTTGATCCCATTCCCCCACTTCACCCCCATAAAATGTCTCTGGTATATATGTCTCTGTTCATTATTATTATTATTTTCTTGTCTGGTCTGTTACAGTCCTGCTGTGAGTGAAACCATCCAATATTTTAAATTTTCTTTCTGGCTTATTTCACTAAGCATGATCTTTTCCAGTTCCATCCATGTTGCTGCAAAAGGCATTTATTTATTTATTTATGGTTGCTAAGTAATATTCCATTGTGTATATGTACCACATCTTTTTAATCCAGTCATCTATTTTTGGGCATTTGGGCTGTTTCCATGTCTTTCCAATTGTAAATAAAGCAGCAGTAAACATGAGGGTGTAGGTATCTTTTTGAGTCAGTGTTTTTGTGTCTTTTGGGTAGATACCTAGGAGTGGGATTGCTGGGTCATATGGAAGCTTCATGTTTAGCAGTTTGAGGAACCTCCAAACAGTTTTTCCATAGTGGTTGTACTAGTTTGCATTCCCACCACCTGCTGGGCATTTTTAACTGTGCTCTTGTTTAACAACCCGTGGATTACAAAAAGAAAATTTTATTTCTAAAACAATTCTTTTCTTTTTTGTCAAAGCTGTGGAGTTTAATCTTGGTCTTTAATGTAAATGCTTATTATTTTCTTCCATTTAGATACTCAAAATTCTGAGCAAATCAAGAGCTTTTCTTTTATTGTGCAAAATAACTTGCATTTGCTATGTACTAAGAAAATAATTATGTTAGAGATCATGTCTGACTTTTAAAAGTGTAAAATATTCTATATAAAACCACCACTGAAATAATTTGTTTCAATTTCATAATCGAGTTACTTTCAAACTTTTGCGGTACTACTCACAAGCTTGTATAAATACAAATATTTATAAAACTGAGACTTAACATTTCATGAAGTGCAGCACCCTCACTGTGGACAGTTACTCTGGTGTGGCTTATTCTATTTTAATTTCCTTAAAAATAAATATTAATTGGGGTACCATTAAATTGCTTGCAGGAGCCTTTAGTAGGTCACCACCTACAGGTGAAAGGGCTCATAATTTTCTGGAGAAAGAAGTTAATGCTGAGGGATTAAACTGAATTGGGCAAGCTAATTGGTAATTGGCAAACAATATGGTGTGGTTAAGAGCATGGACTTTGGAAGATAGACTTGAGCTCCAATTCTGGCTTTGCCACTTGCCAGTTTTAGGAAGGACAAACTGGTTGAAATTTTTAGACCTTAGCCTTCCATAAAATGGAATGACATTAGCTGCCCTGTGTTTATGAGTATTAAATGTGAGAATATGTGGCTCTAAGGTTTATATATACCAGCTGTTATTACACTGTTGTTCATTTTAGTATTTATTGGAGTATCTCTGACTTCTAGCCCAGTGCTCTTTGTACACATTACAGAGTCTATTGTGACAGGCATTAGGGAGAGTGTTAAGTAACAGAACAGGTGGATGAGAATTGTTTAGTTGATCTGCTTGTTCTTTGGAATCAGTTCAGGTGACTGTTGGAGTCTGTGCTTGAGAATTCTACTCATTTATTGCAGGAGTGGAAATTGCCTTAAAGCAGCAGTTATGTCATCAAAACCATTAAAGATTTGCCTTACCTGTCCTTGTTCATGGACTGGAGGTTGAAGCTAGGGTCCACATGTGCCCATGTGTATAAGATCAATTCAGGAGAAAGCTAGAGAATATTTCTGCCAGAGTCTTAATTCTGTCTCCTCCTATGTTCCACACTTAAAATCTATACCCTCCTTCCCACCTTACCCACATTTCAAAGAAGACCTAACTTTCATATTTTACCTAACAGTACATTCATAAGAAGAATTGTAGCAAATATGAACATTAAGGTATACAAGAAAATTAAATTACAAGAACCTCATTTAGTATT